TAACTGGTGCAGTGGTCGTTTGTCCAGAAGGACTGGAAGTCATTTTGTTATGGGTTACACACAAAGTTGCTGTCTGTAATATGCACAATTCCATGACCTCAGTTGAAGAAGCATAAGATTCCAAGATTACTTCACTGAATATAAATACAACTGATAGAGCAACCTGAAGCTTCAACATTATTGCCAGTGGGCATGACCCCAATTCCATCAACCTCCCGTCCTCATAACCTGTTTCTATTGAGATTCATCTCTATGTTATCTACTTTTCAGTCTTCCAAGTTGCCACATTCCAATAGGTTTCACCACAAAAATTATGTATGTATTTCTTGCCTCCCTCATCTGAGCTGAATCGGTGGTCAATTACAAGCTCCTGAATTACACTAACAATACTAGGTAACCTGTATTTATGAATATATTCATTCTTATCCTAAATTTCTCACTTGAACTGATTTAGGTAAAAATATTTCCCAGAGGACACTGTTTCGAAACAATTGAAAGTATGCATGCACACACAGAGTCTTTTAACTGTTCTGTGTACCATATACATTCAAGATAACCCACTTTTAATATTGCTGCAGTCTAGTAGATACTTTACCGCTGTCTTGAAAACTGGGTTATATAAAAGCCACACAAGTATCATTCTAAACAATGACTGGCAAATGCTGAGTATTGTAGTTGTACACACTTGCCATCATCTGGCAACACTCTCATAGTTACACAAATGGAAGTTAGTGTTACTCTCTGCTCAGGATGTTTGTTTAAAGGCAGCCTAGAGTGGAGTCACGCCTAAGTTATGGGTTAGGTTAGCTGTTGTAATTTATTCAATAATTATTTGACTCATTGCGGTTCTATCAGTATTTAAGTACATGAATGTCTGCTTTCTGTTTGTATGATTCACCATTTTATATATAATTTCTTCGAGTCTTTCATGCAAGCAATTGCCTTGTACTGATAACATTTCTAATTTTAAAAGAAGTTACATATGTCCAGAGACAATATAGATTTATTTTTATTTACTTATGGTAAATTTAGTGACAACGTCAGTAGTTCAGACTGTATAGCACTAACTACCAGGATTAATGAGTAATGATTTGGATAGAAAATGGTAGGAAGTGGTCATAGCCTAATTTAATCCCAGGATTAGCCTAACTGGACCAGGTAAAATTATAAAATACCTCAGGCAGGATGTTTGGTCTCTGTAGTAAGAATTGAATCTAGGACCTCCTGAATATAAAGCAGAAATACTAACTACTTGTCCATGATGATTGGTGCAAAGAATTCTGGGAAGTAATTATAATAAGGACTTCCAGGCAGAACTCATAAAGCCTACTTTCATACTGAACAGATTTCACAAATCTTGTATTCTTAATGTTATATTTTGATGAAAATATAATCAAACAATCAAATTCAATTCAGCTCATGGATTAGAGTGCCGAGCCCATGTGCGGGGAATCATATGACTAAATCCTACTCAAGCCTGAAATTTTGTGTGTGTGTATTATATACATATTGTAGTTGTTCACATATACATGTTTATAATCTATATACAAATGAAATTTTATATTAGTTCATTATTAACATAAAGAAACAAAAGCTAAATACAGATTTTATGCAGCTCCAATTTTTGCATTACATTCTACAAGAAATTTTGAAATATATATGGATCCTACACTAAGAGGCTCCTGCTTTACGAATATTTGTGACTGCAGTGTTTACTTTTTTGCAATGTTTTTATTACTGACTACAGGAAGTTAAAAGTTATGAGATTGGGATAGCCTCAAAATGGCAAAATGTTAATACCAAGTTTTGTGAAAAATAGCAAACTGCTTAACAAGTCTTGTACTTACTTTTTTTTACTGAAAAAAGTAGCATAAAAATGTCTGTGTAAGAACAAGTAGAAAAATGCTGTACCCCAGTTTTACGATTCCTAATTCTGTAACTTTATGCTGGTTATTAGCATTAGGGTCATTCTAAAAGAGTGTCCGAGTTCTTTCATCAACTTTTTACCAAATTTCATGAAGGAATAGAGGCTCAAGGTATTACTGAGTATCAACTCTCTTCACGGAAACTTTCGAACAAACTGAAATTTGTTGTCATTAATACCAACAAAGCAATGATAAACAACTCTAGTATCATTCAATGTAGAGTCCTGAAATTTTGATGGAAATATCTTTGTCTCTGAACAGAAATCCTATAAAATTTTATATAGCCATATATGGAGAATTCATAAAAATGTCTACAAATTGTGATTGATCTGTCAGCTGAACGCTATCAACAGGAGAACGGTATAAACATTTGAGGTCATATTTTACAACTTTTACTTATTGGAGGTGTATAGTAGTGGAATTTGTGTACAAAAATAGATAACTGAGTTATATTATTAATTTAGAAGTGTCTGTTTTTGTAGATGGAAGCATTGTAAATGGTAGGAAGTATCCTGCTATGTATCACTCATTTCCATACAAAGTGATTCACACAAACATGCCAGGACTCTCACTTTAACTCCAACCCATATAACGTCCTCACAGATAAATGCAAATTGACTGCATTTTCCTTTATGGCAAAATATGAATGAGTTTGGAGGTTTCTTTGTTCTAAATTTCACAGCTGATGTATTCTACTATTAATTAACTTGCAAGTCTTTTTTCTTACGTATGAAATACACTTTCTAGAAGAATATTTATTATATCCTGTTACAAAACAGCCAGACTATAAGGAAAATATGGAGCTAAAAATGTCTGCAGCACATATCTGCGACTGCAAAAACCTTAAAAAAAAAGCTAGTTTAAGAATTCCATACAAGTTTTAATTTGGTGGTAAATAGTCGGCAAAATGATTTGTCTACCAGCGCACATTTCAGGAACTGACTGCTTCTTTGCTAACTTATTTTATGTTTATTTACATTAACAGCCTTTTTTTATTGTGATGCTAATTCTGGCAGAGCCGAGTAATGACTTAAAGAACAAACATAATAAATTACATGTTACAAGTATCAAACCTTAAAGGTGGCGACTGACTTGTAACATTTGCCTGTAATGTAACGTGTTACAAATCGAGCATTACACAAGTGAAGACAGCGAACGGAGCCGCTCGATGCGAGCCGCTCAC